GATAGATGGATAGATGGATAGATAAATAGATACAGTAGATATTCTATGCTACATTGCATACGGTATAGATTATATTATATATTGTATATTATATAGCGACAGGGCATTGCTTCCAAGCTTCTCACGCACCGTTCGATTTGGGGGGTTGGGATGCTCGGGCAAATGTAGGGGGTTGAACATAGGACTTCAACACCCCAGGTCCAGTGCTTCAGCGGGAGCCTGGTTCATCAATGCTTCGGAGATCGAAGACCAAGGCATGCCAAGTGGAACGCGCACGCAGCTGAAGCCAGCAACTGAAAACGTAGATGCCCACTCCAAGAGCACGCCGCCCTCACCTGAATGTGCTCGTGCCACCCGCCAGGGAGCTGATAACCCTAAACCCTACACCCAGGAGGGGTGGCGACCTTTTTCAGTCGTCCTTCTACATGGGCGGGACCGACACATCCGTCTGTGCTCGTACATGCCCCCGGTCCGCGGTCCAGCTTAATCTGGAGAATGCCGGCCCGGAGTCACGACGTCGCTGCAAGCTGGTCCTCCGCCTCGTCCACATCCACAACCCAGTCCCAAACACACATAGGCAAACAAGAGGGCCTCGAAAACAGAAGCTATGACTGTGACTAATTACCTCATATATCGTCAAACCTGTTCACAGCAGATACCAAACCCTAAAACTTGTATCACCAACGGAAGGCGCTTCCAACCTCCGGCTCCCGCGAAGACCGCGGCGCAGAAGCCTGCCAAGGCACATGAAGCTTCGGAGGGTTTAGGTTCCGGTTTTTGGGGGCTAAGGTTTAAGGTTTAGGGTTTAGGGTTTAGGGTTTTAGGTCGGGTGTTTTTGGGGGGGCTAAGGTTCAGGCAAGTCTCGCACGTTTTCTGGGCGTGCTGAGTCCGCCCGACATCTCCCTGCTCCATGTCGGAGTCGCAAGTCACACGACGTACCGGTCGTAGATCAGGCCGGAGCTTCGCCACATCAGGCTGTTGTTGAGAGGTCTTTGCAGACCCATATCAAGCTTCAGGGCCTTGGGATTTAGCTTTGAAGCTGTCGGGTCTTTGATGTATGGCTTTATGATTTTGGACTCAGGGCTTAGACGAGGTTATGGTTTAGGATTGCTCCCCCACGGTGTCATCACCTGAATTCCCCAACGGCAAGCACAAATGGCACCCTGAAGTTGGAGGGTTCAGGTTCGCCGTAATCTGGGATCTGGATGACCAGTCTCTCATTTGCTTTGTGACTTGATGACCACCCGGAGTGAATTCAACGACCTCGTCGCCCCTATCTTTATCCGTATAAGCGATGTCATTATCATCATCACCATCATCATAATCATCTTTATCGTCTAACCTTTTTTATGTATGGTCTGGTGGGGCATGTGCGGAGCGGGGTCGGGGCGGTGGGGTGCTGCTGGGGGGCGGCCAGGGCACCCAACCCTAAGCCCCGCCTAAATGCAGGCTCCAAGCTTGAAGCAGAACATAAACCGTCACTCAAACTAACCTACACCCCATACCCTAAGCTCTTGTCGACTCGAAGCTTTATAACTTTTAACCTTAAACCCTAGGCCCTAAACCCCAAACCCTAAACCTTAAACCCTAGACCCTAAACCCCAAACCCTGAACCTTAAACCCTAGACCCTAAACCCTAAACCTTGAACCTAAACCCTAAACCCTAAACCTTGAACCTGAAC